AAAGTGGCCTATGAAAGAAAAATTTCGTTGTAATAGCATCATTTATGAGTCACTTATTATATGTCAAGCACTTTACATTTAGTCCTCTCAATGACCTCATGAGGTAAATATAAGTGGAGGAAATGAAGAGGAGATGAGAAACAGCTGGTAAAGAGTGGAGCCAGTATTTGAAACCAGGGAGCTTCACTCTACAGACTGCGTTTTTTATCACGGAAATACAGTCCTTTCTGTGTGAGATCTCTGTGATTGATTGACAGCATTGGGTTGCACAGAGCAGTGGCTAAAACACCCATTTTCTTTCTGGAACCCATATCAGCTGTTGATGGGATTGGGGTGGAGGGAACAGGAGATCCGAAAGGCTGGCAATATACATGGAGCAAATTTTGATACCTGCTTACCATCTCCTTTCCCTGAGACTACACCTTCTAGGCAGTGGTTCAACTTTCGTGTGCATCAGAATCTTGTTCAAATACACATCGCTGGACCCCACACCGAGCTGCTGACTCAGTTGGTCTGGGCTAGGTCCTGAGAAATTGGATTGCTAACAAATTCCCAGGTGATATTGTTAGTCCCGAAACCACACTTGGAGAATGACTGACATAGGGCACTTCAGGGAAGCACAGAAGACTAGCCAGTGACATGAACCCTTCTGACAGTCTCTTCTTATTTAGGTGCTACTCTAAAAATAGCTTATTTGTTACCTATTGTTCATGTTTACCATTCATGTAATGGACTGGACTAAGGCAACTGTCTTGGGTTTTTTAAAGCAAGAACATTTCTACCTATTCTCAGTAACTAATTTTATGTTTCTGAAATGAAAATGCCGCAAAGACAAGAAATGTTAGAGAACAATAAATTAAAAACCGGGAAATCAAAATCATTGACTAGGAATACTTTTGCTTCTCTGGGTTATTCTGATATTCTTTAGACACAAAAATGTTATCTATTATCTGCTGAAAGTAAACGTCAGCGTGGGTATGAATTCCCTTAAGAGAACAGCTGATCATTAACTGGTTTGGGGGGCCTGGTAGACTGCCTAGATTAGAGGAGTACATATGTCCTGTGAAATAACAATTATCTATTAGGGATAGGAAATACTGTGGTGGGAGTAATATAGGACCCTAGTGTAATTGAAATGGTGTTTATTAAAGACTAAAGAGTAAAATCAAGCAAAGGTAGTGATTAGAATTTGATATTTGTAACTTTTCATAAGAGATAATTTTGCTTCAAATATGTCAGTGAGCTCAGAGCCTCCAGCTGTTCTTCATTGTCCAATTGTAAATGGACAAGTGCCAATTATGAAAAATAGTACACTGGTTGCCATACAAGGCTACATAGTCAAGAAAAGTTTGGAGTACAGATGCTGCTATAGTGAGACTGTAAAAGAAGGTAAACAAGATAAAAATGTGGAAAACATCAGAAAATACATGAGATAGAATCCTCCTGCCAAACACCCCAAGCCCATGGACTCCAGATTAAGAAAACCTAGGTTTACTATTTGCCAGAAGCTTTAACTCATTGATTCTCATACAACACCCAGATTACAGATGAAGACACTGAGGCTAAAAGATGCTTGAAATCATAGTATCCTACAGCTACCATGTTTCCCCGAAAATAAGACCTACTCAGAAAATAAGACCTGGCATGATTTTTCAGGATGCTCGTAATGTAAGCCCTATCCAAACGTAAGCCCCAGTTAAGATCATCACCCAGACATGACTGTTTAAATAAATGTAGATTTTTGTACATGAATAAATGAATAAATGTAGATTGTTGGAGCAAAAATTAATATAACACCCATTCTTATTTTTGGGGAAACACAGTAGTAAGTAGGAGTCAAGGTGTAGCTTTATGCCTCAAAAGTCTACTTTTAGCCACTGTGAATGTTTCTCAAAGCATAGAACAAGTACCTTCTGCATTGGAATCACCCACAGTTGTCCCTAAGAATGTATTTGACTTCTTTCCTGCCAACATAAGGGAGCAGGTTTTAGAAAACTATACATTTTAATGAGCTTCTCAATAACCATGAAACCATCTACACTGTCTTTATATATATGACAGTTTTATCAATTCCTTTGGAAAATAATCTTTTTCAGACATTTTTCTGACACACACACCCATTGCAGAAAATGCAAAAAATACTGGAAAGTATTAAGATTATTTAAATCACCTGTGATTCTATCAGGAAAGGAAAAGCATTTCTAATATCTGGTGTATTTCCTTTTAGTCATACATATTACAAATATGTATCGCTTTGTTTTGTAACTTTTGCTTTCACTTAATATGTTGAAAACATTTCCCCATACTATTTAAAACAAAAAATTTTAACCTCTGTGTACTGTTATATCATATGCTATTGTTGAATGGCCTTTCTTAGGAGAAAAACAACTTTTTCAAGTGAAGGAATGGAATGTAAAGTCAGTCCTATACAGCTAGGTGTCCCGAGACTCCCAAGGGAAGGGACAACATGAAGGAAAGTTTCTGATCTGTTAAGCAGCAGGCCCTTAACAGCATGGCTGCAAGAGAAATGAGGGTGCAAGGCGCTTGTGGAATGGAATCAAGCCAATGGACTTTAGAAGTGGTTTCTGAAGCTGAGTTTTAAGTTTTCCTTTTCTGTGATAGTCTTCAGTAACCTTTTACACCCCTAGAATCTCACATCGGCTTTGCTCCATGGAGCTTTATAAGGGCCTTTGAGAGAGTCTTATGTCAGGTTGGGTGTTTGAGGCTCTTGGTTTCTAGGCAGTTTCCTTATGAAATCCTATCCTGTTGTATTGTCATGTTATAGACTTCAAAAAGTATTTTATATTATATATTTTTAAGTATGCAAAGTTTTATCAAATATTTTATTGCTTTCGAGAGAAAACAGACTGATGGTATGTACTATTTTAAAGATTACTTTTTGTTTTTTTAAACCCTCTTGTCATTTGAGGAGAGCGCCCTCCTTTAAAGACAAACCTTTCTCAGAGAGAACCTTTATCTACAAAAGTAGACGGCCACCCCCATAAACCAAGGAGGTTTATGTCCAGGGTTCTCTTGGTTTCTTGCCACTCTCAATGGCCAGTCCATGGAGCTGTCCAAGGTTTTCTTTTCTTCTTTTTTTTTTTAAGACTTTTACTGGGGAATTGGGGGAAGGAGTACAGATAAGTTGCTGTCCTTTTGTTCTTCAGTCTAGTTGTGGAAGACATTGCTTCATTGGCCCAAGCTGGCACCATCATTGTGCTCTTCCCGGCGAGGCAGATCAGCCGCCGGCTTCTGGACGGCCGCTCACGGCAGCTGCTGGCTGCTCACGCTGGCTGCTGGCTACACATGGTAGCCCATGGCAACCCACTGCAGCAGGGGCTGCAGCCTATGCCACCGCGGGTGACTCAAGGCAGCCAGATCCAGGTTGAGCTGTTGTTCAGCATCTTAGCTGTAGAGTGTCACTGGCCCTCATATGTGGGATCCGAACCGGGGCCCTCTGGCTTCCCAAGCCAGCTCTTAACCAATGCGCCGCTTGGCCGGCCCTGTCCAAGGTTTTCTTTCTTTCTCTTCCTGTTCCTAGCCCCTGTAGTCATCATACAAAGAGGCAGCAGAGGGTGGTAAAGAGGGAAACTGACTCTAGGATCAGACTGACTGGGTTAGAATTCCTGCCCCAGCACTGGACTGCTGTGTGACCTTGAGCAAGTCAAACAACCTTTCTGGTCCTCAGTTTCCTTATTTGTCAAAATGGGGATGGAAATAAGGGTGCCTAATTTATAAGATTATTTTGAAGATTTAATCAGTTACTCTTTGTAAAAGTACTTACAACAGTGCCTGGAAAAGAGGAGGGGGAAAAAAGAATCTTTGGGTTTCCTAATTTCTACTATAAAAGGATTTAAAATTTTTCTCCTCAGCACTTCTGCTTTTGTAAATATTGCCCTGGTGATCATGAATACAGGGTCCAGCAGCTTGAGGAGGTGGAAAGAGTGCCCACTGAGCTGTGACTTAGGGCACCTAGTCTTGGCTCTTCCATTAACCAGCTGTGTGGCCCTGGCTAACTGACTTCTCTGACTTCAGTTTCCTCCTCTGTAAAATGAAGGCTTTGAACTTCAACAAATAACCTCTATGCTTTATTTTAGTATTCTGTGAATGCATTCCCAGCTCTACACCCAATCCAATGACTTGGCTTCCTTATCTATAAACTGGAAAAATATTTGGCACTTAGAATTAGCCAAGGGTCACAGCCGAGGAGTAAGCAGATTAGGGTACCCACTGCCTAAGTGGCACCAAGGGAACCTGGCCTAATAGTATGTGAGGAACCCAGCAGAGGGTGGCATTAGCACCTCCCTCTGCAGAGCCTAGGTTCTGCTAGGCTCACCCGAAGGAGCTGTCACAGTGGTTTGCTGGAAACTCCTATCCTGTTGGGAGAATGACTGGGTCGCAGTCTCCCAAGGGACACGGAAATCTTTGATCAAGAGGCTGGAATGGCTCAGTTGGAAGCGTGAGCTGATGGGAACTGTGTCAACCCTTTTTCTGCTATGTTTCCGCTTCCAATTCATGCTCTAGGAGGGGTCCTTTCTGCGGCAGGGCCAAATCCCCCTCCTGGAGTGTCTGCGATGGGTGTCCCCACGCCGCTTGTCCCCCTCCCTACTGCCCCCCCTCCTGGTTGCTATAGAAACCGGCCTACTAGGTCTAGGCCTGCGTCTAGTTGCCCGACCGCCCCACCTCGTCCCCCCCTTCTGCGGGCCAGCCCCCCGCTCCGGATTGGTCCTTCGGGAAACGCTGCGGGGCGCCTCAGTCCCCGCGGTGGAGCCCCAGCCGGGGCCAGCGGGCGGGGTTTGCCTCCACAGCTGTGGGTCAGGTCCGCCGCCCCTGACCGCTCCAGGAGCCTCCCGCGCTCCGGTGGCCCGCGACACCCACGCACCGCCTGCTCCCGCGGCCGCTCCAGCTCCAGCCACCCGAGCGCCTGGCAGGGTGCCACACAGCCGGGCCCTAGCTGGGCTCGCCAGGAAGGTGAGTGAGGGCCGCGGGGCTCGGAGCCAGCACCCCTACCCCACCCGCGCTTTCCTCCGCCAGGCTGCAGACCTGGGTGGCTGAGGAGGGGCGTCTTTCCTCACTGTGACCCCAGGGGCAAAGGAGACACACTCCTGGCGGGGGGCTGGGTGAGTTGGAGTCAAGAAGAGGTTTGGCGCTCCTCGGGGACTTCCCTGTCCCAGGCCCTTCGGAGCGTCGGAGGAGAGGGCGTTAGAGCCGGAGGCGGAGGCGAGGGTGTGCTCGTGAGCGTGGCCGGTGCCTGTGTAGTGTGTGGCGCCCAGGTGTGTCCCCGCTTCTGGGTCTATACGGGCACCCGTGTCTGTGTGCGCGCCACCCGAGAGAGCCGAGGAGGGCAGCCTCGAGTCTCTGCCGGTTCACACCTGGTGCGCGGGACCAGAGGCCCCAAGGCTCCTGTCCAAATCTGCATAGTATGTACCGGGGGCTGAGGACCTGCGTAACCCGGGTTGGCAGTGGAGGGAACTGACAGCGAAGGACTGTGGCCCAGGGGATGAAACCTCCTTCCACGCCCCACACCACGACGCTCCCTAAATAAAGGTGCTTCTTTGGAAAAAACTGTACAAGTAAGGAAGAACCTCGTCTCATCTTCCCGGATGTCCGTTCAAGAATATTAGGAGCTACAAGACTTGGCGATAACGTCCAGGAAAGGGTCGCAACAGGGTCTTTAAAACGCCATTTCTGATCAGCTTTTGTGTGCCTGACACAACATCTGGGCAGATGAAGAGGTCAAGACAACAGATAAAGGTGCTCTTAGCCCTAATAGGGCCGCGAACATTCAGCCATCTGCACTTTTTTCTTCCTTTCCTCCTTTCCTTCCTCCCTAACCTCGCCCCAGCCCTGCCACATCCCGCTCCACCCCACCCTCCCACTTTCGTCCTCCTGAGTTTAGTAGACAAGAGGGCTCTCTGTTAGACCCACCCTCCCCCAACGCTTTTCCTCATCCTGGTTCAAAATGAGCGAATGAACCACATTCTAAGCTCTTATCCATGCAATTCAGACAAGTTTGGAAATTAAATCGCGTTTGCATTCGAGGTCGCAGGAATCCAAAAGGGAAACAAACAAAACCAGACCGAAAAATCTATTCCAAGTTAAGTAAATATTTCAAAGGGGAATCTAAAACGAGTGTTTGTTGATGGCAATATGGTGTTTTTTTGTTTATTTTTTGAAAAATATGTATCACTCAAGCTTGCATCATCAGCATTCAATGTGATTCACAGAAGTGCTTCAAAAGATGGGTTCTGTTAGTGTTGCAAAAGCACTAATTTTGGTTGCCATGGTAACTGAAGAAGTCTCCCTGCATTGTTGAGGCGCAGCCTGGCTGGAACTAGGAACTGTTCTTGAGATCTCCTCATGTCCCCTTATGTCACCATAGTAGTAATAATTGAGCTTATAAGATATTGTTTCTTTTCCTTAAAGTACTAAAAGTCTAAAGCATGTTGTTCTTTTTATTTAATTTTCTTTTTTTCAGTTTGCAATTTGTAAAACAGATCTTCCCTCTCAGACAGCTGAAAGTAAACACTGTGCTCCAGCCGACCAGTCCTGCTGGCCCTGCTCCCTTTCCTCTCAGCTCCCTGCGCCTACAGGAGGGAGGAGGCTGTTTGATGTGAAAGGGATTCTGGCCTGGCACCAGATCTCCCTTCCTATTTAGCATTTAAATTTGGAATCTTAATTAGCTTTCTAATTAGGAGCTGGAAGAATGTGGGTGGGGGTCCCAGAAAGAAGCTAATGGGGAAAAAGCTAAGTCCAGCTCTCCATGGACTAGTGTTCTGTGTGCTGTTGAATTTGCCTCATGGGTTTATTTTTGGCTTGACCACTGTTAAGTGGTAAGACTGGGAAAACCTTCAGAGAGGCCTCCTTCTGTGTTAGGAAAAATGTGGATTGGATATTTAGTTTGAGGTATGTGCTTTTTTCTAATAACTAACCTGCATTTAAAATAAAGGCAGGTTTATATGAAATCTAAATTTTCCAGTAATAACTACAGCTAGGCCATAGAGCTCTCAATGCTCTTGGTTTAACCTGAGGTTTTCAGTTAAAATGGAATAGTTTGGGGGAAGCAGTGGTACTTTAATTAGCAAATGTTGGTGCCTTTAAAGAAGTATAATTCTTTGCACAGCCACAATCCCTGAGCAATGAATCCCATAAATCAATTTTATACATTGATAACATGTGACTGGAAAATTTGAAAGCCCTTAGACTTACAGTTTAAAAAGAAGAGAAAATTTTTGTCTTAGTAGGTTAAAATTTTCAACCAAATATGTAGTTCCATTTTGAGAGACTTGACAATTAAAATATTGTGAAATCCAACTTCATTCTTTGAATCTCATTACAGTATTTCTCTAGGGACTAAAGAGCCTGAATTCATTGGCTGATTTTCTTTCAGTTGTTGAAAGATGAACTATAAAATTAGTCTCATTCTATTGTTGTCATTTCCTATTGTCATTCTAGAAAAAGTTCTCTAGAATTGAAGTTCTAAATTGCAAGAGAAGAACTATCCAAATTACTTATGAACACAATAGTTAACAATTTGAGTTAAGCAGATCGCAGTCCTTAAATTATTTTCTCTCAAGAACTTGAGATAGCTCAGCCATTATTTTACAGCATCCCAAGGAATATTAATCAATTTTATGGATGGGCAAGCTGCATTCAAACGTCATTTCAGCTAACTACTTGGAAAATTAAGAGACAAAAATACATATGTATCAGCCAAGACTTGGAGAGTATGGAGGTGAGAAGAGAGACAGGGTGGGGATGGTAGGGAGAATTTAAGATTAGAGAGAAAAATAAAGCTGTGGGGGGAAAAGTCTTAAAGTGAGGAGAAAACGCACGGATTAAGGGAAAGAATAAAAGAGAAATTGGCCAGTATAGAGAGTTGCACAGGAAAAAGAAAAAAAGAAAGAAACCCAGGTTGGAGAACAGGAAGCAAAAGACAACTCTACTCTTCATCTTCCATGAAGAACAGAGAACTCGATGCTTTTCCAGAAAGCCCTGGTATGCCATTTAGCAAAACCCTCTGACTTGGGAGGCCTGAGTGGCAGATCAAAATGCACTCTGCCTCACTGCCTCCCCTCTCAGTGGTGTGAGCTGAGGCAGCTTTCCTTCTCAGGTCTGCCAAACTAGCTGCTCACTAAGCCTTCTTCCACTCAATTCTTAAGCCGCCAAGAAAGCTTTCTACATCCCTATTTATTGAGACCATTTAACTGGGATAATTTGTAGACACACTTGATTATGTAAGTGCTTTTTTTCTTTTTGGCTTTAAATGGGAAGTTTTTATTTTTAAAAGTTGCTTAAATTGTTATCAAAATAATGCATTCATCTAATTTTATGAATTAGAGCATATTATAAGATTCTATCGAAAACGACAGTTCCTCTCCTTGGATACAATCACTCTCTGCTCTTAGTTGTTAGATTACTTATCTCCCTATTTTCAAATAACTTGCTTATGTGGCTGGTCCTTGATTTTTCAATTTTAGACAGACTCTGTGTACTTTCTCTTGTTATAGGAGAGGATACAGCTCTCTTATTCCACCCCCTCCAATTCCCTCCCTTTATTTTATTATTCCCCCCTCCCTTTATTTTTGCAACATTGCTGGTGGAAGGAAATCAGCCAGTGCAACATTAGCATAACCCTTTATTTGAACATGCCAGGCAGAGGAAAGCTCCTAGGAGCATCTGACTTGGGGCTAAATGTTTCTTAGGACTTAGCCAGAGGAGCCAAAATTCAGTTAATTTCAGAAACAGTTCGTCAAGGATGGCTCCTTGACCAGAACTATCTGGAGAGGGAGGAATTGCTCTTGCAGATTTGTAGCTATTGTTTGGGTAATTTGGATTTTTATACAGGGGAATAAGGAAAAGGAGTCAAGGGCTAAAATCTTGTGCTAGCTTGGTAAGCGGAGAGAGTGGCAGGGGACTTACACCCATCTCACTGGAAAATTCTGTCCTATAGCGCCTCTCACAAGTGATACCACAATTTTCATAAAATCAACACTGAGTTTGTATTATGACTGTGTAACTATTGTTCACTGCAGAGCCAGGTTGTGAACTATGGTTGTATTTCTTTTTATGGAGAAAATAATTCTTTTTTAATTTGTTTAATTTCTAGGAACATGTTGCTATTTCTTCCCAAATATTTTAGCGGCTCTGTAAAACACCTCTCCTTGGTATTTTCTCCACAACGAAATGCATCAGACAATCATCAGTTCCCTTCCCGGCCCTACCCCAGCCCTCCAAAATGGAGCCCTCAGTTCCCCCGTCTGAACCAGTTCCGTTCTAGCCCTGACACACACACTGGCATTCTGAGATTTCCCTTCACTTTCCTTCTGTGCTGATTCCCTGTCCTCCTTGTTCTCCTGTTTTCCTCTTTCTTGGTTTATGCCTTCATTTTATGGAGCATCTGCTTTGGTAGCTTCGTAAGAAAAGGTTATGAGAAGCAGTTTTGAGACCTTGCATGTCTAAAAATGTCTTTATTTTACTCTCACACGTAATCGATGGTTTGGCTGGGTATAGGATTCTAGGCTGGAAATTAATCCCTGCAAATTTCTGCAGTCACTGGTTTATTGTTTTTAGCTTCCAGTGTTGCTGAAATTTCAGTGCCATTCTGATTCTTTTTTTTTTTTAAGCAAGTAAGATTTTCTTTTTTTTAAAGATGTTTATTGGGAAATTAGGGGGAAGACAAGTTGCTGTCCTTTTTTGTTCTTCAGTCTAGTTGTGGAGGACGTTGCTTCACTGGCCCAAGTTGGCACCATCATTGCGCTCTTCCCAGGTGAGGCAGATCAGCCGCCGGCTTCTGGACGGCCGCTCACTGCGGCGGCTGGCCGCTCACGCTGGCTGCTGGCTACACACGGTAGCCCATGGCAACCCACTGCAGCAGGAGCTGCAGCCTACACCGTCACCGTTGTCTCGGCAGCCCAGCTCTAGGTTGAGCTGTTGTTCAGCATCTTAGCTGTAGAGGGCAGTGTCACTGGTCCTCATATGTGGGATCTGAACCAGGGTCTCTGGCGTCCCAAGTCAACTCTTAACCAATGTGCCACTCGGCCGGCCCAGTACCATTCTGATTCTTGATTCTTGGCATGAAATCTATTTTTTCTTTCTGGAACCTTGTAGGACTGTCTTATTGTTTTGTGAAATTTCACCAAGTATGGATTAACTTTCTCTGGATTATGTTCATCTACCTAGCAGGCCCTAGAAACTTGTGCCCTATACTTCTGGAGAATTAATGCAGTAGACATACTTGGGAAATTATTCCATTTTATTGGTTACCTTTCCTTGTCATCTACTGATTATTATTGATTGCATCAACTCAGGGTGTTTAGCTTTGAATAATTTGGTTGCTGCCCTTTGTTGGCCTACTTTGATCTCCTCAATCTCCTAGAGATCTGACCCAATTTGGCTCTCCACAATATCTGACAGGACATGTGTGGTCAGAAATAGACACTTAGCAACATTTTCAGGGTTTTGGAAATTCATGCCTCTTGAGAGCACTGCATGTAACATTGAGACAAATTTGTGTTAGTGGGCTTATGTTCTGTCATGTTGCATGTGCTAGAAAATTCACTGTCTCCCTGGGAAGCAGAGGTGTTGTTGAGAGAAGTGTGGGCGGAGTGGCGGGCTATGGATGGAGAGATTTAGAAGGTGATTTAGGTGAAGAGGAGTGTTTCTGTTGTGCCTAAACTCAGGCTTCCTTAAGAGTCACTTTTTCTGTATAGCATGTCACCTCAAGGTGAGAGCCGTTGTGTGTGGTTTGGTGA